AAGGAAGGAAGGAAGGAAGGAAGGAAGGAAGGAAGGAAGGAAGGAAGGAAGGAAGGAGGAAGGAAGGAAAGAGAAAGAGAGAGAGAAAGAAAGAAGGGAGGGAAGGAGGGGAAAGGAAAGGAAAGGAAAGAAAATTAAATTTAAATTAAATAATTTTATTTTTCTCTCTTTTTTTTTTCTTTTGGTTCTGGGGATTCAACCTAGGGGTACTTTATTACTAGGTTATATTCCCAGCTCTTTTTTTCTTTAATTTCTTTTATTCTTTTATTTTGAAACAGGGTTTCACTAAGTTGCTGAGCCTGGCCTTGAACTTGCAGTCTTCCTGCCTCAGCCTCCCAAGTCACTGGGATTATAGGAGTACCCCCCCACATAACAGTAAATATTTATATTTTTAAAGCTATCATTCTTATAGAAACTTGGTAGTTAAAATTCTGATTTTGTTTATTAAAAATGGTCCCTACAATTTGCACTTTAGCTATGTGAAAACGTTTCTTTGGAAAGCAGGGGCAAAGTTTCTGCTCCCTTTGATTTGGAAGCCCTGATGCCTTTAGTGAGAAAGTGATGGAAAGGTGAGGGTGTGGGGAGGATGCTGTGAGTTTAAATGAATGTATGCACACCATTCCCTGTGGCCAAGCTATGGAAGCAGCCCAGGTGCCCACAACAGAGGAATGAATAAAGAAAATGTGGTGCACATACATGGTGGAGTTTTACTCAGCCATAAAGACTGGAATTACATCCTTGGCTGGTAAATGGGTGGACCTGGAGAACATCATGTTAAGTGAAATAAGCCAGATCAGAAAGTCAAGTGTCAAATGTCTTCTCTCAGCTGTGGAAGTCAGGAAAAAAAAAAGAAATAAGAAAGAGATCTGGAAAAAAAATAAAAGGGAGACAACTAGAGTAAAAGAAGAGAATAAAAGGAGAGAGAGGAGGGAGGGGAAGGGAAGAAACTAGAGAATGAGACTGATCAGATTATGTCATGTGCATGTATGAATGCGTCACAGTGAATCCCACTATTATGCATTATTACAATGCACCAATTAAAAACGCATAAAGAGTAGATGCTGAAGATAAGGTGGTTTGTGTCCTTTGTTGTTTGGTTTTGTAAAACTTGGCTGTGAAAGACAGACCTAGGAAAGTAACAGGATGTATGTTACACAGGAAGAAAGGGTTTTCAATATGTTTATACAATGAAGAAAGTCTTCAGACAAAAAGAGGTGAATAACTTCAGAGCAGGAATGATTGACCTCAAAGTTCTCCAGGAGACCACAGGACTCCAATTACCACGGGATTAGCCTTGGCCAGGAATGGGCTGCTCCCTGAAGACAAGATCACAAAGCAGGAGGAAGGCAGAGAGGAGAAACATGCTTTTAGTGGTGGGGGGCCAATCAACAGAGTGCTCCCATGGTGATTTGGGGATTTTCTCAGTAGGTTAGAGGCAGAGTAATTTTCCACCAGTACAGGGAAGGAAATGTAAGTGTTTTTAAGATAGTCTAGGACTGTATTATTGGAACAAATATAATTAAAGAGTGATTCTTTGATCAATAATCATAATAAATGGAAATAACAATACCTTAAATACGTGCCTCTCTAGGTATTCCTGTTATTTTGAAAAAGTACTTCTTCTCCTCCTTTGAAATATTAAGGAACATTAGTAAAATGGCCACGCTTTGCTAGTGGTTTTTAAAAAGTTAATTACATCTCTGCCATCTACTAAGTATTTTCAGCCAATTGCTACTATTTATTTGGGGGTGGGGGGAAGAAGGACATATTTTCAACTACACAGTCAAGAAAGAAAAACCACTGAACGCTACTTTGCCACTTCAATCCACACTAGCTTATATTCATGGGCAAAAAGGTCATATTTTCCTTATCTCCTCTTCATTTATCTCCTATGTGTTTCTAGCCAAGCTCAGGTGTACGGTGACTTCCACAGCCAGGGTCCAGTCCCATTCTGGAATCTGAGCTGCTCAGCCTGCTGTGGAAGTGTCTGGGAGACGAATCAATAGTCAGGAGCTGGGAGACGGGGAAGCACAGGAGGGCTTCCTACCCCACAGAGCAGCCAGCCTTATCAGGAAGCCCGGGAACCGACCAGAATAAAATCATAGCTGGAGACATGCAAGAGCACAGAAGGCGGGTTAGGAGGCACCTTGACTTGTCTCTATAAAAGGCAAGCATACTTAATTGAACAGTCCCTTTTCTTTCTTCCCTGCCACTCCTCTCGATACTGACATCACCCTGATAGCACAGGGATGTCTTCTATTGCCCTAAGGCTGCACTGAGTTTGAGAGCTGTTCTGCTTACATTTCCAAACTACATGCGTCAGCATGATGAAGTACACGGGTCACCTGCTGATATGTGCCTGGCATAATACACAACTCTCTATAGTTGTCACCATGAATTATAATTCAGTGCCACCCCTGAAGTGAAGTCACATCTTGAACATTAGAGGCAAGCTGAAACATGAAACATGTGTGCTCTCCCGTGAGGTAGAGAAGCTTCCCTTTGTATTATTATCCTTTTCATGCCGTCAACCAAAAAAGACATCAAGAGATGATCCTGAAAAAGGGTCTGGTGATCTTTGCCCTGGGTCCACTGATGATTTAGTCCGGAGTTTTTTCAAGTCACTTGATGTTTTTAGAGCTCAAACTTTCCTGAAAGGAGGAATTAAATTAGAATTTTGATTTGCTGAAGTCCAAGAATAAAATGAAAGTGTTGGGCTGTAGCCTCAAAACAAAAACCATGTATACAAATGCATTTTCCAGAAACTTCATGAGTCCCTGCAGTACAGTTATGATCCCATTATGAGTTGAATTGTGCTCAGCAAATAGGTTTAAGTCCTAACCACAGGACCTGAAAATGTGATCTTATTTGGAAATAAAGTCTTTGCTGGTATCATTTAGTTAAAATGAAGTCAACTTGAAGAAAGGAAGGGAGGGACATCCTATATAAAACATCCTTTATAAAAAGGGACATCCTTTATAAAACGAGGAGAACAGATGCATGCAGGAGGAATGGCACGTGATGATGGAGGAAGAGATTGGATTGATGCACTTACAAGCCAGAAATGCCAGGTCCTGCTAGAAAACACCAGAACCCAGAAAAAAAGAAAGACCTTCCTCTAGGGAGGTCCAGGAGAGCCATGACCCTGACAATCCCTTGATTTCAGTCTTCTGGTCTCCAGAAGTGAGACAATAGATTTCTGTGGTTTTATTCCTCCTCATTTGTGGTACATTTTAATAACATCACGGGGAAGCTAATACAGACCCCATGGTGAGAAACCCTAACAAAGCAGCAATGCCGCCGTATCTCTGCTTTTTACACCCTCACACACTCCGCCAGCAAACGTCCTTAACTTTACCTACAAACTACATCCAGAGCCTGACCATTTTCACTAACTTCAACTCCACTTCTCCAGTTCAGCCCACTGTTGATCATCTCTAGCTTCAACACTGATGTTTCTCTACCGAGGGGAGGTACTAGGCTAGACACTGGGCTGGGTACTAAGGCAGGTACTATGCTGGCTGCACTATTACTTATTACAAATACAGGCCATGTTCCCCTTTCCTACCCATCCTTTATCTTCTTCCTAACCTGTAACTATTCAGTACAGACATGTTTTTCCTGTCCTTGGCACTTGCATCTCTTTGTCCTCAACCAGGGATTGACAAAGGAGGATACAGAAATGCAAGTTGAGGGGATTTTTCAGGGAAACTCCAGGCCCATCTGGGTTCTATCTCCTGTGCCTCAGCCAGTGCTGAGACTCCAAGAGATTGCCCACAAGCTGCTCACACAAGCTGGAGCTCTTGTTTGAAACCTTTGTTCTTTTATTTTTTCCCTGATGCACTGGGGTTGAACCCAGGGGTATTCTACCACAGAGCTACATCCCCAGTTCTTTTATTTATTTATTTTATTTATTTTGAGACAGAGTCTTACTACGTTGCTGAGACTAGTTTCCAACTTGTGATCCTTCTGTCTCAGCCCCCAAACCATGTGCTGGGATTACAAGAGTGCACCACCATGCCCAACTACAACTTTTGTTCCTAAATGTTTTACTGAAATATCACTATGTGCATCCATTTACAAGTTTTCTTTTGTCTGGAACTATTTTCAGGCTTCAACAACAGAGTTAGTAGCTGCAACAGTTGCAACAAAGATCCACTGGACCACAAAGGTAGAACTGTTATTTATTTATTTATTTATTTATTTATTTATTTATTTTTTATTGGTGGTGCTGTATCACTGAGTTACATCCTCTGTCCATTTTCACATTTTATTTTGAGATAAAATAAATTTATCTTAAATTTCCCAGGCTGGCCTCAAAGATGTGATCTTCCTGCTTCAGTCTTCCAAGTAGCTGGGGTTACAGGCATATACCCCCACACTCAGCCAAAACTATTATCTGGACATTTACAGAAAACATTGTACCTCGTTTTAGGCACTCTGAAATTATGGAATTCTGTGTACAAATATCTCAGCACCTCCTTCCAGGGGCTACTTGAGTCTCTTTTTAAAATTCATTGTTTCAGGGACAAATCGTGCCTCCGATGTTCACAGGTATGTACCCTCCTTGGCAGGAGTGGTTAAGGATTGGTGAGTTAATTCAGTGTGGACTTGCAAACTGCTGTGTTCATACACAGAGGCAAAATTGTGCCCCCACAAAACACACACACACACTGTCCACTGAAAGATGGAGTGAGGAACAGTTCCCGTGCTGTCACGTTCCAAGGAGAAACTCTCAGAGTCCAACAATTCTAAATTTGAACCTGCTTTTCTTGAATGTTATGAAGATGTCAAGGTCAGCATTTTATTTTATGTGTTTTAGGGTGATGGACAACTATAAATGTACAGACACAAGGGATGTGGGTTCCCATTGGACTTCAGCTCTGATCCTATAAGGGTTAAGGGGTCTACATTAAGGAGAGATTCTGGTAGACTTTCAATTTCCATTTTCTGTAGATTAATGAGATTGGAAGTTTCATTCAGTAATACATATAGCCCCAAATACTCCTACATAGAAGTTTTATAGTAATCATAACCTGGCCAACTCTGGCCTGAGAGAATTGCATTTCTACCCCTTTCTATAAGCCAGGAGTCATGTTATTTGCTTGCCTTACATCTTTATGATTGGTGTTTATAGAAACTGAGTGCCAGCAACATTGGAACACATTTGACACTAGAAGGAGAATCTGTTAATCTATAGATGTTCTCTCGATCCAACTGATATGAACAAGGCTTAGGAAAAAATGTGGTTTAAGCTAAACTTCAAGTTAGTTTCTTGTTTGTTCAAATCAGTGGCCCTTACAGTAGCCCATCAGAACTAGCACAATACTTTCCAATCCCAAAGATGTTCAGCAATAGAATTTGCATCAAGCACGAAGACATTTGTAATTTATTCTTTCTTTCATTGTTTCCAATTTAACCATCAGCTGAAGTTAAATATAAATCATTATGATGAGTATGCATGCCTCACAGGCTTTGTCAGTGACCACCCTTGCAAGGTGTCCTGGTGAAATATTCCTGAAAGCTACTATTATAAGAGTCAGTGTTCAGTTTTCAGCCACAGATTCTCACAACTTTCATTCAACAGATTTTCATCAAGAGCCACGTGCCAAGCTGTGCACACAAATAGAAGTGCTAATTATGTACCAATGGGGACATATCAGTTAACATCATAGATGCAGTTCGAGCTATAACAGAACTTCCAATCCACTGGGTAAGCCAGAAGCAAAACAAATATTAGTACAAAAATAAATGCTTGCCTGAATTTTTCTGCATGCTAGAAAGAATGAGTGCAGAATTTGAAAAGCAATTACCTGAGATGAACTGCCTTAACTGGCATGGAGTGGGATAGGTCCCATGAGACTTCTCTGAGGAAAGGACATTTATGTGGAGATCACTAGATGCACAGATGTGAGGAAGGTGAAGCTGAAGCATTTGCCATGGCCCTGAAGCAAGAAAGAGTTTTGATCAGCTGAAGGAAGACCACTGTGGCCAGAGAGGAATGAGTGAGGTGCAGATGGTGTCAGACACAACTGGTGCAGGGAGAGGGCCACATCAAGGCCAATGCTCTGCATGGAGTCTGGACACTCTTTCTGTAAAAGGTCACATGTTAAGTATTTTAGGCATCGTAGGCCATGTGTCAAAATCAAGAATGTTACGCAGATTCTTATATATTTACTAAACAAATTCAAACATTTTATGAACAGAAATTAAGATATAACATTAGCAAAAGTAGTACAATGATTTTTGAAATGCAAATCTAGTAATGAGAAGAATATAATGCTTTGTGGGAAATATATTGTTTAACAGGGCTTCCAAGTTAATGTTCCTATGACCAAATTAATTAGACTTTATGTATCACATCTTCAAAAATGTCTTTTTACATATATGAATATCACAAATATTGATATAACCATGAACATATGATTTTATTTGGACATGTTTATCTTAGAACCAAACATTCATAAATTCTAATATATCCTTCCCATTTGCCTTTTTATCATGTCATTGGAGTTTCAGATTAATCATTCCCAATTGAATGTTAGGTGGAAGCTCTGAAATTGCATAGTTAAATGAATTTTGAAACACAAAATTTCCTTTGTACTTGCATTGAGATTTGAAAAGTTGCTGGAATTATAAGTGGAGTCTGTGGGGAATGGTCTATTTGTTTGCTTATTTTATATGATGCTGGATAATCTTTCTTCTGAAATTCAAAGGAAGAAAAAAGTATCTGAATAGAATTCTTTATTTATTTACTTATTCTATGTCACAAGTAAATGGTGGTTTTATGTGTTAAAGGATACACAGTTTTGTCCATTTACAAAATGCTTTCCTAATTCCCTTAAAGAAACAAAAATTCATGCTTTCCATAATCACAATCCAATTTATGGACACATGTAATGTACATGATTTCTGTTTCAGTTATGATCTCCTTGAAGTTTACCAATCTTATAGATGAAATTACCAGGAAATGGGGTATACAATTCAATTACAGAAGAATTTGAACCACAAATGTGTATCTTCTAGGTTCACATCTCCCTTAAATATTCTCAAGATGCTTCTCATCACAGGTGCATTCTTAACTCAGATTTTCTTGCACTCAAAATTATATTTTATTTCAAGAATCTCAGAAGAACTTTCCAACAGTTATTCTAAACCCTTCAATATCAGGAAGATAGTTACAAACTGTTCATGGTAATAGTTTCAGGCTCAAATCTCTACTTAGGAGCAATATCAGGACTGAGTCCCAGAGCTCAGGTGCAAGGAGGGATCTGATCCCCAGCTCTTTCTTCTTGTTGGCAGAACTCTGCATTCTCAGGTAGAAGACTGAGGTCTTCCTTTCCTTGCAGAGCATGAGCTGAGAGTCTCCATTACTGGAGGAAGCTTCATTCCTGAATTGCTCCAAAATCAGCTCCTCCCAGATGCTAACCCTTTCTTCATCAGCTGAACCATATAACAAACTATTGGGGGATAATTAACTGATGAAGTTCATCATCCTGGAAATTTTGTGAGGACCATCTTAGAACTCTGCCTACCTCAACATCCATGAGGAGACAGCAGAAACACAAGTTCAGATTCTACACGTACATGTATGCATACATCAGGATGCAGTTCTTTTTCCTTTTTGACTTTTTATATTTCATTTCTGAATCTCAAAATGCAATCTTCATACTAGAAATGGATTTTCAGCACAAGATTTGTAGCTGAATAAGATAATGAGTCCATAAATAAAAATGATAGAATATCAGAGGGCAGGAAAGCTTCACAGACATGAGATCTTAAAGGATAATTTCATTTCTAAAGCTAACATCACTCTTTCTTCAACCCCAAATTTCCTTCTCACCTAAATGGCTTTCTCACAAGGATTATGGTAGCAGCAAACATCCAGCTAGAAACATGCAAGGGGAAATTTTCATGAGCATAGAATATTTAAAATATTCAGATACTAAAATCTAATCCCCTTTTTTGGAAAAATAAATATTTTGGGAGTTGTAAAAAGTATTCTATTTTGGGGAATGTATGTGTATCATATAAACAAGAATCCATTATGCCTCACAAAGTAGAACCTGAACAGAGAGGTAAGTTCTTGTAAAATTAGTGCTGTTTAAGAAACAAATTTAGACAGTAAACATAAATGGGAGTCTTTATTTTAATAAAATCTGAATTCAAGGATTAATCAATGCATTGATTATCCACTAAAATTCTTACATCTCTTTTCTAATATATGTATATCAGACAAAAGAAATCATAGTTATTTTATTTTTATGTAGTAATCTAACTCATATATCTGATATCAAACACCTATTATTAATATTTATTTCAGGATTTAGAATGCACCCAACATACTTCAAGTGTTTAAAGGTGTTTTATAATTTAATTAAAGATTTTTTTTGTTTTTAAATGATAATCTAGTATAAAGCCACTAAGGAGACTGAAATATTATAACAAGATTATTTCTACATGTATTTATCAATGAAATGCTTCTATATATAAAATACTTTTCAGAATTTTGCTATGGCTACTCAGTTATTTTTTTAAAAAACAAGGGATCAACATTCATAAACATTAAATTCATAAAGAATGTATTTATAGCAGGAGGGGAAGTTTGGTTTAAAGTAAGGAAGCAACGTGTAAATCAATTCAGGATCATAAGAATCAGCCAGAGATTTGCTTTACTTTCAGTATGAACTTTAAAAACAGGACTCCATCTCCATTTCCATAGAAAGCCAACTTTACCAATATTTGTCTGAAAGCTATTTTTTTCCAGATTAACATGCTAATATATGGAAAGTCTAAACACTAACCTTTGCAGTGAGAGAGGAGACTGTTGTCAATGAATCATTCTCTAACTTCTTCGGAAAAGGAAGAACTCCAATCAACTGGCTCCCAGCTCTTCAGACTCCAGCATCAACTAGTTATGTTTAGCTTCATAAAAAGCCACCACAAAGCTTGGTTATGTAAGAAATGAGCCTTTGTTATGCTGGTGTACTGTATGAGTCAGAAACAGAGAACAGAGAACGTATGGCAGTGATGGCTTGTCTGTTTCTAAGAACTCTGTTGTCAGAACCCAAAGGACAGTGGGTATCTCCAGCCTCTAAGGGATGGAATCATCTGGAAGCTTCTACACTCCTCTCTCTGGCACCTGAGCTGGAAGAAGTTGAAGGCTGGCGCCACATGGGAAACGTGGCATCGCCATATGGCTTGGAGTTCTTTGGTGTAGCCCCTTCAATACATTTGGTTGCTTAATAGGCTTCTGGAGGCATAAAGAGAGAGCATTCTAGCCAACCAGGTGCAAGCTGTATAACCTCGGAGGTGACGCTGCACCATTTCCTCTGCACCACATTAATTTGTAAGACCACCAGAATTTAAGGATACACAATGGAAGGAGTGTCAAGGAATTTGTTACCACATTTTAGAATAAATTCACTGTTCACAACTATTTTCCCATATTAATTTTCCATTATCACAATTATAAAAATGCATGCCCCAAATCACAGAGTTCTATGTGTACTACCAGTAGCGCAAACACATAAGCCCCTTGAAAACTCCCAGAAACCTGACTGGTCATTGAATCTACATAGCCTGTTTGATTATTTTGACTGACGGAGTAATTCATATTAGCTGAACACACTATCAAGTTACAGTGGTTTTTAAACAACCCACATCAAAATAATTCAGTCTGTATGTGTTAGTAGAAGAGAGAGTGCCTAGCACCTAAGAGGGAGGATTAAAGACAAGTATTACCTGAAAGAAGTGAATGGTAGGCATTCCACAAATATTTGTTGAAATGCAATCTCTGTGTTAACATTGCTTTAGTTGTGTTTGGACTCCTTTTCAGAATGACCCTGGACCAAAAGACAATGAAATCCCTGGTGGTCCCTACCTCCAAATTCTGCTTCTCCAGAACCCTTGAATGGCCATGCGACTGATAGCAAGTAAACTAGATTCATCCTAAGTCATAGATTCATTCTCCCATTATTTATGTAACCATGGTCTATGGATTTGGTTTTCTTATCTGTAAAATGAAGCAGTTGAACCTAAATAACCAAAGAATTTCTCTAATACTGAGAGATTTTATGAAAAGAGTTTTTCTCGCCTGAACGGCTTGCCTCCTCACACTCTTCCACCATGATATTCTTCCTCACCTCAGGCCCTGAAAGGAATGGAGTTGGCCATGGAAGGACTGAGACCTCTGAAACCAAGATCCCCAAATAATCTTTCCCTCCTCTAAAAAAGTAACTTACTTTCCCTCTTTCCTCATCTGTTTTGTTATGATTGTTGCTATCATTATATGACTCGACATATGGAAAGATGGTAAATCAAAACCCTGTTTCAAAATTGTTCACCAATATAAATAATGGTAGATGAGCATGGTTTCCAACCTACTCTCTTTAACCAAGCCATATGATATTATACTGCATCCCTGGTATGAATATGATGGTCGGTTACAGTTCCTGCCTTCATGGTAGCGTGCAAAAGGATGTTTATGGGCTAAATCAAAAACCTACCCAAGATGAGTAAGATGTGTCTTGAGTAAATGCATTCTGAAACAAACCTTAGGATACATGAAACATATAACCTGACATCCTGATTTCCAGGGATATTTGTAGCAAAATCAGAAATTGAGTAAAATTTCATTTTTTTAATTTTTAAAAATAGCAGATGCTTATTAACCAGCCCAAAGGACAACCACTGTGAAACTTTATTTGGAGTCCATTCCGAGACAGAAAAGTTTTATTTTCCAATAACCATACCCCATCTCCTGGCATGGTTGTTATTTAGGGCAACTGGCAATCTTGTGTACCCTGGTGCCCATCATCACTGCAGACTGCCACTGACCAACTGCATGGACTTCTCCACACATATTTAGGGCAGTTTATCTGCTGCCAGCTCAATTTCGAGTCTGAAACAGCAGTGGAAATCACATTGGTGCTTGAAATATGAGTCTATAGAAGAAAGGTGGTGGTGACCGATGAAATGATGGTTTATTTTGGTTGAATAAACATGTATTTCCATTGTACTCATAACCTCAGTACCAGGCCAACAGTACCAGATTAGAAAACAAAAATTATCTTGACCTCCATAAAGACGACAGGAAATGTGATCACTTTGAACCAAGGGTTCAATCAAAAAGAAGCCAAAGTCCTGTTCATAATCTAAAGTAACTGAGAGCCTTGGCCATCAGAATTAATTTCTTAAAAAATTGCATGGGACACTATTTACCTTGGACTCCACCACATCCCTAGAACCCAGGAGTGTTTGGTACCCAAAGTGCACTCAATGCACTTTGTTGAGTTGTATGAATTTAAAAGGAGAACAAGTTGATGAAATGGGTGATGCTCAGGGACACAGGAGACTTGAGTTCTAACCAGAGGTATTCCAAGCAAGGTCAGGGACTTTGTTAGTTTCCCTTAACATCATAATTGAGCAGGGCTTTCTAATCTCTCTTTTAATACTTACCCACCCAACTGTGATTACTACATTTGAGTTTTGGTTAAAATTTGAATGAAACCAACCACTGAAAGTGATCCTCAACTAAAAACATTCAAATTCTACAACCTTACTTCAAAATCATGTGGCAAAAATGGCTACAGTGGGCATCCCCCTGTCCCTTGCACACACTTATATCCCCTTAAACTGCAAACTGAGTCACCCAGAGTCCATTCCTCTCTAAGGGGAGACATTGATGCCCAACTTGCTGTCTTCTAAAGGGTAAACAGGGTACATTATGCTGCTCCCTTAAAACTTCCTCCTTACAGAAATCAATCTGCCAGCATCATGAGAAACTCTACAGGAAATCCTCTAACTAGCCAATAAAAACATAACCAGTTACTCTAGGAAAGCATACCCCATAATTGTGACAACTTCATCTGTGAAATAATTCTTTGCTTGCCACTTATCTTTCATTTATGCTTTCACTTCAACATTACTTTAATGTACCTGGTAATTAATTAAAGGCATTTTGTTATTATGATGCAGAATCCTGCTATCGATATCTGAACTTTTTCTCCAGTAGAAATTGCATATACAATTTTTATGAAAAAAAAAAACACACTATGATTTTTAGATGAAATTATAGTGCTAAGAAAACCACAAGCACATACTGAGTGTATGGGCAGTATTCGTGAACAGGGGATACAGACAACATTCTATCCGTGGAAATGTATGGTTCCGCTCACACATTGTGGAGTTGCCACTGTGCTATGCCTACTGAGTGGGCATTTGGTTTTGCTGCCCCCCTCTTCCACCCAGATGGCCTGCAAGTTGCTCTCATCTACGAAACACAAACCAAGAACTATGCATCACTCCTGGACAAGAAGTTTTAAAATCAGTTTTGCCTCCTCCAGCCTCTCTCCCCTTCTATCCCAGATGAACACACACAGCACCCCAAAGCTTTAGAGAATCACTGTAACCACTGAATCGGTGCAAGGAGATAAGCTGACCAGGAGCACCGGTCACCATTGCACTTGGAGAGGTCAATTTCTACTATGTTTGGCCCCTGAAATCTGAAGCCAAGTTTGTTGCAGAGGTTGTTGTTAACCCTAATAGATTAAAATAGTGAACACAATGTCTAGCCTCAAGTTCCTCACCTGTGCTACAAAAAGAGTAGAACCCACCTCATAGGAATACTGTGAGAATAACTGAGATGGTACATATAAGCAGGCCGTCCAGTTACTAGCATACAAGAGATGCTCAGCAAAGAATAATTACATGTCACCTGTATCCTTTCCATCACTCCTCCCATCTAGTTTTAATAGTAATTCAGTAAAAAAGGGTGACAATTATTTTGTCAATTAATAATTGTGCTTAATTTCTGTGATTGATTATTTTTTTGTTGGACATTAAAAGGAAATGTTTATATAACAGGCTGCAGTTACCTCAGCCCTCCCACACACTACACAGACAGCAAAAGCACACCAGTCTGACTTTTCAGCCAATGGTGTTTACAACTGCCAGGGACCTGATTTAAAAGCTAGAGAAGAAAGATAGAAAGTCAGTACTAGAAGGTTGGCACTTAGTTACTCTCTTTGAGTTTCCCTCTCATTATCGCCTGGTATGGTTTGGATATAAGATGCCCCTCAAAAGGTCCTGTATGAATGCTGGAGTGTCCAGATGTGGAATAATTAAATTATGGGCGATGAAACCTAATCAGTCCATCCTAGTTTGAATGGACTGAGTGATAACTGTAGGCAGGTGGGGCATGGGTGGATGAGTTGGGCCCTGGAAGGGTGCATCTTCCCTATCTTCCCTGTGGTGTGTGTGTGTGTGTGTGTGTGTGTGTGTGTGTGTGTCTCCCCCCTCCCCAATCTCCTATGCCTTTCCACCATGATATTTTGCTTCACCATGGGCCCAGAGCAATGGACTTGGCTGACCATAGACCTCTATAACTGTGACCCAGAAAAAATTTGTCTTCCTGTCAAGTATTTTGGTCACAGTGACACAAAGCTGACTAACACATTGCCATTCCAAGATATTTCAGCCTAGGCATTAACACACACACACACACACACACAGAGAGAGTGCACAAACACAAAATAAAAGTGTACAACTAAATATTCTTCACCTTGGTCTTGATTGCTATATAACTGAATCCATCCATCTTAGACATTTCAACCAAAATAACTAATTTTGAAAGAAAACTGTTAAAAAAAAACATAAGTTCTTAGGTTATTTTGAGGGAATGCATGTCCAGGAAATATACTTCTGAATTTTAAACTTGAATAAATCATAAATTTCTCTTGCAACATATGCCCATTAGCATATATAGAATTCTGCTTTCAAATCATTTTCTGTTAAGTCTATTTTGAACCCAGAAAATGCAGCCCCATGGAGTAGCGGTAAAAGTGGACACTGTCTCATCCGTCCTTCCTCAGTTTATATCATGCCAGGCAATCAAGGGTCTCCTGCAAAGACGATTTTCATAGGTGTGCTGGGTTTGACTGTTGTGATGAAGTCCCAAACATGTGTAATCACTCAAGCCAAAAACAGAAGACAGTTTGTCAATTATGCACAGCACTGATGCTTATCAGGCATGTTATTTTTTTTAAGCTGGGTACT